ATAAGAATGCACAAATCTATCTGCTTATTTATATTCATTTATTACAATTTTGCAATTAGATCAATTTTTCATTCTACCAGAAAACTTGTTTGGCAGCACCACCATACCTCTTCTTAACAAATTGCTTCAAATGTCCTGAAAAAATTATTTGACTTGTGCCTTCTTTTTCGAAAAACTGAGATTATATTTATAGATTTTTTTCTATGAAAAAGTTGATGTGTAGCAACTAAAAGTCAGCTTTACTGTCCTGACTGAATATAGGTGCATTGCGTTTTGACTGCGAAGTGTGTTAGGGTAAGTGTTCAGGGTTTTTCACCGCAATTGCCTGAGTAACCGGCTCTTAATAAGCACAATTTTAAGAAATTCTAAAGAGAACTAAAATGTCAGAATTTAAAACAGAGGCACGCAGAATAAACCGTTGCTTTCAAATATTGGAACTTTACTATGTAGGACTATGTCCTTATTGCTGTAAAATTTATTTATTTATTCTGGTTTGGTGTTCATCTTCTTTTTTTCTCTTAGGGACTTTTTACGAAAAGATAGTCATTCAAAATATGCTTGCTAAAATAGACGAAGATAACACTACATTTGTCAACGCTGTCTTTCACCTCTATGCAAAGCTTTTTCTAGCTATGTAGGTCTTTTTTTGGATGCAAGCTTTTTCTTACATTCTTCTTAGAAAAAGCATGCATTCTTACATTCAAGCAATTCTTTCTGAAGAAAAAAATCTTTACAACTGGCTTCAGAGGGAATAAAGTTTTTGATTGTGAAATTTTGGATATTTGAAGGAGAACGTCATTTTGATTAGAATCAGAATCAGAAAATACATAGAAATTGACTATTTTCTTCAATACGATATGGTCGAGTTCTTCTTATTTTTGTAGTCGTTGGAAAGCAATGGCATACGCTTTTCCTGTTTCAAAATGTGTTTATAGAGCTTAACGAAGCTGCATCTTGTTTTGGATTCATGAGTTTGAGCTAATTTTATACAAAGTATCCGAGGCATCGCATGTATTGGTCGTATTGCTTGAGTTTTTCTTAGAACGACGTGGTAAACGTTTCATCTTTAGCATATACCTTAGATCGCTTACCAAGCATTTAATTTTATTACTGATAAAAGTACAATTTATGGGCTTTCGCTTGCTTGTTGCTCTTAGCAAATTCTTTGTGCGAAACTCTTTGTTTTCTGTCCACTTCCAATTCATTTGCCTGGTTTCGGAATAACGAAGAGTTAAGTAGGTAATTTCTCGACATTTTCTCTTGAAGACATAGAAAAAAGTGCTTGTACCTCCACTTACCCTTTGCTAAAGAGATTTTATGAATTGTCTACAACAAGTTGGTGTAACGATTGCGATTGTTATTTTGGTAACTGGCCGTAACATACTATTAGCTCAGTAAGCCACACCATCATTAGAGAAACAACCAATGCAACATTCCAATGTGACGGAATGCGATAACTATAGAGTAGGTGTTTGTGTTCAAGGTTTTTTGCCTAAGCTGGGAAATCGGGCTAGTATCTCGGCTAGAAACCATCTCTTAAGTAAATTTTAAAGTGCTAGAAGTCCTTCAATAGTTTTTCTATTAAAATTCCTACTTTTACTTTCGACTATGGCAATGCGCTGACCTTGGCAAGCTGCCAATTACCCACAACTACCTCATAATCGCATCTTCTCCTTGTACCAACTCAACTTTATGATCTCCCCACCCTCCTTCGAACATCCATCTCTTGCCGCCCCACACATGTGTTGGTTAGCGAGTTCCCCACGGCGTGTGCGGGTTTTTCGACACACCCGCCGTTCACCAACTCCGACTGCCGGTACGTCTCTCCCCCCGTGTCTGCTAATCCATCGCTGCTGATTTGTAATGCAGTCGTTTTGAACTCGATTCCTGCCTTCTTGTTATTCTATATCGGTTCTGTTGTTAAACAGCTGTCAAAATGCCTGCAGGATTGATGATCAGATGGTAGGTTTTTGAATTTTTCAAGATTAGTTGAGTTTTTGCAAGGTTTTAATATCTATCAATGGAGTTTATTGCCTGAGCAGATGGAAACATACGTCACTTGGTGAAAAGCAAAAAATTCTTTTAAGAGGTTATAAATTTATTCTGGACTTCTTAGATTTTCTTATTATTTTT